AAATTTATTCATAAACAATATCAAAATGATTATTACTCTTAACTATTGTTATAGGGCGCACGTTATTCCATTTACTACAACGGTCACTGAACCGTGATTGAAAGTAACACATATATAACAACACGCTACATAATAAAGCTTGAACCTGCATGATTATATACCTAATCCAACCGTAGTTAAAACCCTTTTTCGTAGTTGTGATGGGTAAGTCTTTTGGGTCTGAGAGTGTTGATGTTAGAGAATTCAATGAGTTTATAGATAAATTTGAGTTAGTTGATGTTCCTACAATAGGAATCAGATTCATTTAGGATAACAATTCTAGTTCAGCTAAGAGTAAGATAGATAGATTCATCTTTTCTGATAACCTAATAGAAGCTTGGAACATCTTAGGGAGATCTGTTGGTGATAGAAACATTTTTGATCATGCACCTATATGGATAAAATCAAATGATGTGGACTGGGGGCCAAAACCCTTTAGGATAAATAATGATTGGTTTCAGAATAAAGAATTCTTGAAGTTTGTAGAGTCAAAGTGGAATAATTTTAAAGTGGCGGGGATGCAAGCTTTTGTGTTCAAAGAAAAAATGAAATTGCTAAGGGGTTGTCTAAGGGATTGGAATAAGGAGGTGTTTGGGTGGTTGGATATGAAAATAGATGAGGCAACTAGGGTCTATATTAATTTTGAGACTGGTATCAATAGTAGTGGTGTGATCAACAATGTAATAACTGAGGAAAGAAGACTAGAAGCCCTAAAGGAGTTCTAGAAGAAGCTTCATCTCAAGGAAAGCTTATTGAGACAAAAATCAAGGCAACAATGGCTTATAAATAGGGATAATAATACAAAATACTTTCATAATGTGATTAAAGATAGAAGAAGGAGAGGTAACCACTACCACAAAAAATACATTAAACAACAATTAAGAAAGATATATAATCACGCGGGACCAGACGTTGTTATGTAGCATGTCATTGTATATGTGTAACTTACAATTAGGGTTCAAGGACCGTTGTAGAAAACTGGAAAGCGTGTGTCCTATCATAACGATTGATTTTAAGAGCCATTTTGATATACATAAAGGTCCATGGTTCGATTCTCAGCACCACCATTTTAGTATTTATGTTATTCTGGACAGCGAGAGATATTACAAGGTTGTGTTATTTAACCATTGTGAAAGTTTCTGCTGAATTAATAAATTTAATCTTATTTTTATTATTTGATCCATTTTTAACCTGTACTTTGTGGATCACATCCCAGCAGAACAAACAATTTACATTTGTGATATAGTTATCATAATAATAATAATTGTATCATAATAATAATAATTGTATCATAATAACAATAAAAAATGGATTAAGAACCAAAAATTGTATATTACTTCAAAACCAAAATGTCACAGTTAAAATAATCTCCAGTTTACACATTACAAAACATCACATAAATGTATCTTGGTGTTTTTGTTTCATGTCTCTAGGTGTCTTATCTCTTGGTGTCTTGACATATAATTACCTATGATTTCAAATAATCATACTTACATTAGTAAAAATACATAGAAATTATAACATACAATTAATATATTATGAATTAATAATAACATAATTACTTGTTAATTTTACCATATTCGTTCTTCATGATCAATTCGAATAGAACGCATAACATCTCCATCAACTTCATCATATGAGGTAGAAACTTGTGATGTATAAGAAGGAGCAGACAAAATATCAAGACTTTCATCACTAAGAGGAATATGTTTTCTTTGGAGAATATTGACCATTTCCCCGATATGTCAGAAGATTCAGTCACATAGAAAACTTGTTTTGCTTGAGAAGCCATGATGAATAGTTTGGTCATAAAAGATGCCTTGCCAAGGTCAACTCATGTGAATCCTAAGTCATCATTACTATTATTGAGAACCCACTTACATTTAAATAAAAGCACTTTGAAAATAACATAATCAATCTTCCATATATCCTCAATGACACCACATAAAGCGGTAGTTGCCAATACAAAATTCTTATCTTTCAAACTAGAGAAATACATTGATTTAACTTTAACCATAATCCCACTATTTTACATTATACTACGATCATCTTTTGATTTTGTATAAAAGGTATAATGACCAATGTCATATACATTCCAAGTTATGACATTAAATTTTGGCTCGTACGGCAACCACTTAAGTATCTCGGAGGAACTACGATCATTAGATACCCTTTTATTAAACCAATCTATGAATCTCTTGTTATGCTCTATCAACAAAAACTTGTCACTCATTCAGGGATATTTTTTCTTCAAAAGTCTTCTGTGAGTATCTACGTAAGGTTGCACTTCATCAATATTTTTTAATATATAGAAATATGCTTGAATAACTACATCCCGAGTCATTTACATAACATTTAGACCTTGAATACCTCTTCTGTTTGTGTGATCAGCATGACGAGACTTTGTAATGCCTATAGAATCTGCTTTCGACAAATAGTCTGTACAAAACTTAACAACTTCTTTAGTGATATACCTTTCAACAATCGAAGCTTCTGGTCGGTGATGATTATTCATATATCCTTTAAAGATCTTCATATATCGCTCTATTGGATACATCCACCACTGGACCATAAAATCTGATTTCTCTGACTAGATGAATAAGCAAGTGGACCATAATGTCAAAAAATGATGGAGGAAAATACATCTCCAATTGACACAATCAAGTTTATTTGAAATCAAGAACTTGATTACATATGGCATTGAAGAATAAGCTCAATTTGGTTATAGTTACTCTCACATTTTTTGGTAGGATCCCATGGATAGCCACTGGTAGAAGTTATTGCATCAATACATGACAATCATGAGATTTCAAACCAATTAACTTGATATCCTTCATTGATATAAGTTTCTTTATGTTTGATGAGTAACCTTGGGGAACTTTGATACCATGCAATCACTCGTATAAAATTTTCTTTTCCTTTTTAGGTAGAGTGTGACATGTTGGATATAGATAAGTTCTATTTTCTCTATCTATCGGAGCTAACTGTTTTCGTATACCCATCACCTCCATATCGATACTGGAAGTATTACTATCTTTAGTCTTGCCTGGAATGTTTAGAAGTGTTCCAATCAAACTATCACACATATTTTTCTCAACGTGCATCACATCAAGACAATGTCTAACATAAAGACTTAACAATATGTAAGATCAAAGAACACATACCTTTTTTTCCATATATTTTTCTCAATTGGTCCTTTTCTTTTTCTCTTTCCGAAGACAACATTAATGTGTTCCTGTCGTTGATAAACTTCATCCTCGGTTAAACCTCTTCATCCTCGGTTAAAGGTTTATGAGCCATAGCAAACTCTTACTCTCCATTAAAAGCCTTTTGAAATCTACGATAAGGATGACCAGGTTTTAGAAATTTCCGATGCCCAAGGTAAATAGTATTTTTCAAAACTGAAGTTGGAGATAACAGGTATCATATTCACATATAGAACACCCTTTATGTCCTTTGACACTATAGCCATCCAAGTTGCCATAAGCAGGAAAGTCGTGGATTGTGAAAAATAACATTGCACGCATCTTAAACGTTTCCCAAGAATATACATCACCAACTTCAACGCCTTTATCCCACAAAAGTCGTAAATATTCAATTAATGGAGCAAGATAAACATGTATGTCACTACCAGGTTGTCGTGTGTAATACCCCAAATTCGTCCTACCTTTTTACTTTTATCGGGCTAATGCATCTCACACTCTTCTCATGTACATAATTTCCATTAGGTTATCTAACACATCATGCTTCATTAATTGATAAAATTGGCATTAGGATCAGTGGCTTGGTAATTAGGGTTCTCCTTAGTTTTGAGGCTCTCATCTACATTCAAGGAAAATTCAAGTTGTTTCTTCGATGATCATGGTGTTAATTAGGGTTTATTTCCCTAGTCATGTGGTATTCAAGAGGGGGGGTCCCTTATGAAGTTCATCCTCAATGAATCTCATCACTCAATGGGATCATATCCTTACTTAAGGTGCACGTTGTCGAATTAATGTTGGTGTTCATGGAAATTAGGGTTTGCTTCAAGAAGATTCATTATACAAAACAAGAAGGCTTCATTCAAAAGATGTCATCCTTGGGGATAGGGGTCCCAATTGATCTATATTTTTTCAAGTGAAGTGGTGTTCATTTCTTGGATCATAAGGCACAATAGATATGGTTTCATAAGGTAAATGCACTTGGATTTCGTCAAGCAAAATTTGTGGGTATCTTAAGGCATAGTATTCCATATGATCGTTTGGATTTCTTATGACACAAGTTACTTTCATTCAACTATCTCAAGCTAAAATTTTAGAGTTTGCTTATGAAATAATGGGTGGATCAAAGTGATAGAAGATGTGGGTCATTCAAACGCTTAAAGTCATCAAGACATGAAGGATACTTTCATACCATTGATTCCCTTTACAAAAAAGTAAGACATTGAGAATACAAATAGATAGAAATTGGTTCAAAGTTTGATTTTGATAAAAAAAACACCTTACAAGAAACTTCCATTACAAAGGCCATTCAAAACTTATTACATTCTATTACGAAAATTACAAGATTATTCACCACACCATTCAACATTTGACTCAAGAAAGTATACCTATTACAAAGTTTCAGCCTTTTCATTACCCCATTTAATCCCATCATATTTCAAAATTCAAAATCCTATACAAGTACACCAAGGTACATTACACAAAAAATATAGCTGCATCAATTATCTCGAACTTATTTCATCCAATTTGTCTTGAAATTCTTGTCTTGATCACAATGCTTTCATATGCTCTTATAACCATCTTTCAAGCCAACAAACTCTATGAAACCTGGCCTTTCATCCTCACACCATCAAATTCCAAACCTACAATCAAGAAAATTATGTCCAAAACAATCTACATAATCAGGAAAAGAGACCAAAACAGTGGCACTTGAGTAAAAAAATCAAAGCTACCTAAATGCATTTAAGAACATATCTACAAATGGCTAATCTTCAAAATCATGCTACGAAAGCCAGTTCAGGAATGCAAATCAAACTTGCTGTAGTTCATAAGAGTCAGACCTTTACCAACATTGAACCTTCTCTACCAAGAACCTTAACTACAGATAGCCTTCCAATTCCCGTTGCCCCTGCAAGATTTTTGAGCAATGGTCTTCAGATGGTTGAGTTTTTTTGGAAGAATAGCGCTTACTAAAGCATCATTTGGCAGGAAGTATGTGGCTGAATTCAAGTATAATGGCAAGGATATTTCTGTGACAGAAGAAAACATAAAATAGGGCATCAACACAAAACTCAATTCACCAATCAACTAATCCATCCGTCCTTAACCGAATTCTAACATATATAATAACCACACAAAAAACTTCAACATGATTTAACAAAACTTACAACTATCAAACGAATTCCAACTTCCAAACAGAATTGCTAACAGAAACTAACGGCTCTAACCATAACCTCCTATAACCTCTAACTTTTCTACTGTAACTAACTTTCAGAACAACGCATAACTTCTTCTAACAAATTTATAACAGAAAATAGAATCATATAACCTTCAAGCTGAAGCCAAACGCTTTACTAACAACCTAACTACCCTGCATAATAGAATTCCAACTTCTAAAACAGAATTTACTAATAGTTTATACCAAAATTATAAAACCTAACTGTCAAAACAGAACAAAAAAAACTTTCTAATTCTCTAACCAAATTCCAACTAACTTTCTATATTCTAACAACCTCTAACAGAAGATATAAGAGATAAAAAAAGGGAAGGAAGAGATTCACGATTCAGAAGAGGGAATAAAGAGGAAAACAAAAACTCACCTTCAATCTGGATGATTGCTCTTCAATCTTTCTCTCTGAATTGGATCTTCAACCTTCATCTTCTCAGAATCTCCACATTTCGATCTTTATCTCCTCAGAACTCCACCTTCATCCATCTCTCAAATAACCTTCATTATGCAGTCTCTCTATATCTTCAACACATCCTTCATCATCTTTATCAATTCTGCAACATTATCAACCTTGCACCTTCAAGCTTCTGCAAGAAAATTCATCGCAACACCTTTAATCATCTCCTACTCTCTGTGATTTCATCTTCACGCATTAGCTTGCACAACCTTCTTCAATAAAAAAATGCATCACTTCATTAACAACTCAATCATCTTCGAGGAAGAAGAAGGCATCACGAGACGAGAAGAGTGTACCTGATCTTACCTCACTGGTTTTCTGTGTAGCCCGTCACCATCGAAGACGCATCAGACGAACTCCAACAGGTAAGCCTCTACTTCCGTCTCTGATGCTGTTCTGAGTGTGATTCCTTTTCCTGTCAAGGTTTAAGACTGGAAGGTTGAATAACGATATGAGGAGGAGATGATAAGAGCCGTCGAGAGCGGAAGAGAAAGAGAATTGAGTCAGAGTGACATGAGATTGACGGAGAGAGATGAGAGGTTGGTGTGAGACACAGAGGAGAACAAAGGAGGCTTTCCGTTGAGGATGGTGATTGACGCTGCTTGTTCTATAGAGAGGAGTATGGAGTTTCGCCGGATACGATGGGAAGGTTGAAGAAGAGAGGTGGTGTAAGGAGAAAGCGGATTAAATTTGCCGCCGTTCATGTTTGAGAAGGATATAAACCATAGAACTCTAACAATCACCCCCAATATAACCCTAATCCGTTTTCTTTTTTTATATTTAATTTTGTTTAATTTTTTTATGTAATAAATAATAGAATGCAGGTTGTTGGGCTTGTAATAAGTTACACCCCTTAGGCATGTTACTTTTTGTTCAAAATCTGAATTGAAGAATAACAAAAATAGTCCTCCTGGGCTCGTCCTGCATCAGGCCATGCACTCAGGGTTATTATTGGGACTGAATTACTACCAGAGGCCCATCCCTGCATTTTTGGTGAACAAAAACTGAATACAACAAAAAACCTATTTCTTGGACATATTGATTGGGCCTGGCGCCCAAATTGCTGCCTCATAGAGCCTGTTTAGGCTTTGCACCCCTAATCCTTTTTTTAACCATTTTAGTTTATTCTTATGGTTTAAAAATTTTCTTTTAAACTCTCCTAATAAAAACTTAATGATAGAAGGACAAAAAGGATATGTAGACTTAAATTTTTACTTTTAATTTTTTTATGATAAAATCGTAATAAGACCAATAAAATTTGTTAGTTTTTTAAATTGTTTTTTAGGAACTAATTCACTAGTTTTGGTAGGCTTTTCATGACAAAAACTAATAAAAAATACTTCCTTTTTCTTTTAGTTTTATTCATGTTTTCATATCGTCACGCCTCATTATTTTTGACGCGTTTGTTCATTGTGCAAGGTACATTTTTGATGCTTTCGATCATGTAACATAACAAGTTATTATGTGATATAATCACATGTCTTATGCTCGCTTCTGATGTGACACGCTTTATTTTTCATCGTCCTAAGAAATTCATATCATATTATATGTTGTCCGAATGCATGTGAAATTTTGTGATACCTTGTGCAGGAACTTCTGATTACGCGTTGTGTTTGCAACACACGTTTGCTTTTATCTTATTTGGATATCATTTATGACTTTGTTTTTTTCTTGATGAAGCTTGCTCGAAGCATACTCCCCGCTTCTCCATTGCTTTTTTCCTACTTTCGACGATTTGCTTGCTTGTGGTAGTTTCTGTTACTGCCTCTTGTATTTTCTCTTGTTTATCGCACTTCTTTACCGCTTTTCTGGAGATCATGAGAAGTAGGGCTTTACTGCTTTCTGATGCCATGAGAAGTAGGAATAGAGATGTATGACGGGGGTCTCTGTTGCTGATCATGTCAGGAACCCCTCTGGTTTATTTAAAGACTCGTTTAGGGCAACTCCGCATTGTTTGCCATTGTGTGCTACTTGTGTGTGGTTTGTTTAAAACCCTACCTTTGTGTAGGTATTTTGCAGGTGTATTTACATTTTTTCCCTTATTATTCCTCCATTCCTTATTGAATTCCTCAAAAGGAGGCGAGTGGGGAGGGTTCACAATCGACCCCCGCAATTTCGTCCCTGTCATCCTTAGCTGGTGACGCACCATGATGCTTCGGCGTTGTTCCCGCTCTTGTTATCGAGTCGTCAAGTGAGGAAGGGTTCCGAAATCGAAACCCCACGCTTTGTCAGGAGTTCGCATTGGCTGATGCTGATACTCCTTGATTGTTTATATTGCCTTATGTCGTCTACCTCGGTCTCCTATATCTTGGTTAGGTGTTCAGTCACTTTGGACATTACATTCTTGTTTTTTTCATCTCACTCCTGCTTGTTTGTCTTGGGTGATCCGCTCCCCTTGACTAAAGCATTTCGTTTCTTTTATTTACTATTTTATGTGTGTGCTCTTTCGAGCTTGCTTGTTTTATCCTTGTATATACCATGTTCCCTTAGGATACGCTTGTCCCTTTCGGATGCAAGTTAGACCTTAGGTTGTAAACCATGCATGCTAACATTAGGTATATATTTTCCTTTCATCCTTGACGTAGGGCCACCATTGTATGATAACACTAGGTTTAGGAATAGGCTAGTCTCCCTTAGACTCTTTTCTTCCCCTTTTTGCATCCTTGCATCTAAAACTAAAACCTTTTCCTTAGCAAATCATAAAACATGCTAACAACTTAAACCCTTTTTCGAGGTAACAAAACACAAACCAATCAAATGTGGCATCTTGCCTTGAGGGCGTAACTCAAAACCATTTTCGGTGAGGACATGTTAATTTACTTCTGTGCCAATGCGTGAGTCTCCAAAGGTCGAGCTGCAATAGAAGGAGGAATTAACATTGTCATACGCCAATTTTTGACCTAAGATCCCATTTTTATTTTTGCATTTTTATACAAAAGTCAAGGTCACTAAATACAGTCGGTTTTAACCTCTCACCTTAAAGCATTAATTATGCAGAAATTATCAAGTGTTTTGAACATTCTTAGCCTATGTATCACTAACTTCTAATCAAGCACGAAATGTGTGTTTTTTGTTTCTTTGATTTCATGTGCTGACAGGTCTCCTCCGATTTAGCCTTTCAATTGGACAAGTTTACTGCCTGCAAGCCTGCTTCGACTGGACAAGTTTGCTGCCTGCAAGCCTGCTTCGGCTGAACAAGTTTACTGCCTGCAAACATGCTTCGACTGGGCAACATTGCTTCCTTCGAACACGGGCTTTCGATTGGGCAATATGTTTGTTTCGATCCACATGCTTCAATTGGGCAACATTGCTTCCTTCGAACACGAGCTTTCGATTGGGCAATATGTTTGTTTCGATCCACATGCTTCAATTAGGCAACATTGCTTCCTTCGAACATGGGCTTTCGATTGGGCAATATATTTGTTTTGATCCAAGATTCGTTTGGGCATGTGGCTCCCTTCGTGCAAGTCTTTGTTTGAGCATTGACCTTTTTGTGTGCTTGCTTGGAGTCACAAAGTTTAGACCTCCTCCATGCAGGCTTCGACTATGTTTGTACTAGCTTCGACTGGACAACATTTCTCTTTAGTATGCTGCATTTCCATCCTTGACAAACTTCAGCACATGGTTGATGGCCCCCCTCAAAAGACATATAGTGGTGGACTTGAGGGGCATACATATGAGTCCCTATCGAAGGATACGCCTTACTAGTCCATTCGAAGCACACATTTGTCCCCTTCAAATGATACACAAAGGTGATTCGTTCGAAAGACACTTGTCGGAGGAAAGTCAAACAATGTGTTGGAAGAAGAATCTGGTCGAAGGAGGGTCAAAATTAAAGGATAAAATATTCAAAGATGCTTGCTGCCAAGTTCAGACATGGTACACTGGCCAAAACTGCTGCATAACAGTCCTGAAACACTGCCCCATTCTTGCACCAAAACAACATACAACCACTGTCCCTTGAAGGCTACAAAGAGCAGTTTACCCAAATTGTTCAAATTATTTTGTTTTCCCTCCAAAAGCTTCAGCCCACTTTTCCTATAAATAAGAGGCTCCAACACATGTTTAAGAGAGGATCTTTGGACCAGAGGAACGAATCCCCCAAATTTTCTCAAACACAACAAAACTCTCAAGTTCATCAACACTTGAGAAATCAAAACCCAAAATCCCAAACACTCATCTCTTTCGATTCTGAAGAACACCCCACACATAGAAGTTTGTTCAAACTCAAATACAACCTTCTGTGATAACCCTTAGAACCAAAAGCAAACCCCCTGTGACTACTCT